CAGCTCAGTTCTGTTCCATTTATACACTTATTTTCACATAGCGTTATACATGGACGCGTGTGTGTTTGCCGTACTGTATTGAAGCTTTAATCAGGATTAAACCGTATATTAAAAGCTAACATAAGCAGTAGCATTTACAAATAACAGCGTATCTAAAAGTATGAGACAACAACAATCAAAAAACATAGGCCTACCATTAAAAGCCGTGCTTGCACAGGTTCTGCATGATCCTCTTCAATAATATCCTCTGCTTCTCAATCGGGCTCAAACTGATAAGCGATATTAACAACGCCGTTGTTTACAACCGGAGCACATGCCACTGAGCTGAGGGGCGGGACATTTAGACGCACACTAGAGGCGGTTTAGCCAATCACAACACACTGGGCTAGCTAACTAATCAGAGCCTATTTCTGAGGGAGGGGCTTCATAAAAGAAGGAAATGATCAGCCCGTTTCTCAGAGAAGGGACAGAGCGGTGTGGAATAAAGGTAAATTTAGACGCACACTAGAGGCGGTTTAGCCAATCACAACACACTCACTGGGCTAACCAATCAGAGCCCATCTACTATTTCTGAGGGAGGGGCTTCATAAAAGCAGGAAATTATCAGCGCGTTTCTCAGAGAAGGGACAGTGCGGTGTGGAATAAAAGTAAATTATGTGAAAAATAATGCTTTTTTTTTTTTTAACACATGTTAGACTGCACCCCATAAACACAATCAAGCCTACAAAAAAAAAAAACAGTCAACCACCCCTTTAAGGTTGACATGGAAACATTGGATATACAAAGAAAAGGCTAGTACTATTTTTTTCCACTAATATTATGTTAACACCTTCATGTCATGTGGCTACGCTTTTGAAAAAAAAAAAAGTATTTTAAAGTTTATGGATTGGTTCTTGGAGTGCGATCACATTGCAGTAAAATTTCATAAGCAAAAAAAGGTTCATTGTCTATTGTCAGTAACGGAGAGAGATATAAAGCACGGCTCACTCAGAAGTCACTTTCAAAAGCAGGCTTTTGTTGGTCAGTGCTTAACTTAAAAATGAGTGAGCAATTTCATGGAAAACTCTCAATTACACAGATTCCTATTGGAATGACTGCATTTTGCACACAAAATTTTGCAGAGCAACGGTTAATATGACCGCACTTTTATTCACTTCCATCGTAAATGGCTCATTGTAACACAGATTTTTTTTTTTTTAATTTTTAAGAAAACCCGATACAAGTGGAAGTTCATCTTTGCGTTAACACAATGCTTTAAGTGTCAATTGAGCCTAATGTGTATATAATATATGTATATATATGTATAAATGGAGCTAATAAGTTTGCTAGGTTTAACAAGGCTTTTAGCAGTTGGATCTATTGGCTTCAACTGCAGAGTGTGTGTGATACAGTTGAACATTTATATTTCCATTTACCCCTCTCTAAAAACACAGCCGCTCTCTCTCTCTCTCTCTCTCAATTATTCTTGTGCTTCATTGATCCCGTCAGCGAGACAGTCTAGCGTAAAATGCTCCAGAACCAACCAACCAGATGCGACAAGCACACAGAGCTCTCGGATCAAAACAAATACAAGAGCATATGGAATATTTCAGTGACACTCTCTCTCTCTCTCTCTGTTTCTAGTGAGAAGAGGAAGCTACAGGTGAACATTGTCAGCCCCATTCACTGCAGTATGAATGGAAGGAAGTGCACTGTCATCGTGGAAACCAAGATCAACCAATCACAGCCAGACTTCACCAAGAGCCGATCGGGATACATTCTCTCAGTGCCAGGCAACTAGAAGACCAGAGATCCCAAAACGGCTCCTTTAAAAGGACATTGACAGCAGGGTATCTATTTTGTGCTAGTCCAAACCTTTGAGTTGAACCACAGATATGAAGCCATACATACCAAATTTGCCTGAAGACAGGCAAGGAAGAATGTTTAATTTAAAAAAGAAAAGTTTGTCCCTAAATTCCAAACTTCAGTTTAGATTATTCTCAAGATGACAAGGAGGTAGCGATATAGACCCTCAAAGAAGATTTACCAAACTTGGCGCTGTTTATTTATTAAACATTACAACCAAATGAAGAGCAATCATAAATGTAATATTTATGAGGAACAGGATATGCAGGATTTTAAAAGTATCTAACTTGTGTATTGAGGTTTTTCCTTCAAAGGGAATTTGTTGGTTTTTGATCACTGCTTCATGTGGGATGAAGAATAGCTCTGCTTGTGTCCCGATGTGTTGCACAGATCATAAGCAGTCCTGCGGTTGCTGCTGAATTTGATTGGATGTTCTTGAGCGGGATGTGTTGATCATATCCTTAAACTCATTAACTGCTCAGAGAGGAGCGTTAAACTCTCTCGTAATTTAAACCATTCTCTTTTTCTGCATATAGTTGGTCATTTATAGCACATATTGTATACAGAAACTCATATTGGATATAGCTTATATAGTGTACTGTATGCACTATACATAATGTAGGTAGGATGAGAGCTGTCATTTATTCACATATTTGCTGATCTTGGAGTAGAATCAGATGGGGCGGCACAGAGCAGGATGTGATATGTTATTTTCTGTTGCCATTTTTTAAATAACAGACCCTGCCGCCGATAGTAGTCCCTTTAGTTCCTCACTCACCATCACTGGCTTAAAGCAAAAAAAAAAAAAAACACTTCTGTGATGATAAAGCCATTAACAAGACGCTCTCTCATGTTTACAATGACTGAGTTCAAAGTAGTCGCCATTTTACACAAGCCAAAAATGCATGTCAGCAAAAAAGAACAGACAACCAATTGTTCCATTAGGGTCCAATTTTACTTCTGTCAGCTAGTTCTATCTAGTCATATTTCAATATTTTGTCAATATTACCACTGCAAACAGCTAGTGTTGATATTACGAACTTTGCACATCTATATATGTAAATGTGTTCAAATAAGAGAGAAAGAGAGCAGTATTGATTCATAGAACAAAATCAACAGAGTTCTGAGTGGAAACTCCCAAGATGTCTGGCCCAGTTTGAAGCTTTCGTAACTGATAAAGAAAGTGCCAAGCTGAAAACTGACTTCTGTTCTTCATTCCTGAGGTGTTTGCATAAATCTGTTTTTCCATAATTGTTTCATTGTTTTGTTCTTGGCTTCTAGAAAGAGATCTTTTTTATCAGTTAATTAGGATCGTTTCTGGTGGCCAAAAATATCACTAAGCTCCCATCACTGGGTGGAATTAAAATGAGGGAGTGTGCATTCAATAGTGAACTGAGGGCCACGACTTCTGATCTGTCCAAGTCAGACTATCACTGAACGCTGATCATGTCTGCTTTAAACAGGTGCACACTCTCTCATCTTCTTTCTCAGTCCTCTCTTGACTATTAGCCTGGATTGGTAAAGTGTGTCAGTAAAAGAATGCACCTAGTACATATAGTACTTTAGGAAGATAAAGTCAAATGATCTGATTTAGTTTCTGCTCACCAGTTCTTAAAAGCAAAAAAGTGCAATAAATGGACTTACAGCAATTTCTGAAAGTTGTCAAGGTCTATTTATCTTGAATCAAACACTATTGTATATTAGACATTTTTTGACCCTCAATAGAAAAATACTGACAGTTGTGCAAATGCTCTTTTACCTTGATAAAAGGAGTTATGTGATTGTTCAGTTGCATAAAATCCAACCCATTTTGTGGAGAGAGCAGTCTGTTTTGTTCTGGCAGAGAAAGTCATATGATATATGATCATTATATAGTATAAAGTAATTTCTTTCTTTCTTGTCGTGAACCCCAGTGATTCTGTTTAAGTGTAGAATAATTCCAGTTCCCAGGTAAAAGTCTTTTATATTCTTTGTTGTAATTATACCTATTCATCTTGGTTAATATTCAAGATTTAGTCTGATCCGATCAAATAATGTGCCTACTTTTATACTTCTATTATTTAATTAATATGTTTTACATTTTGAAAAGATGTTACACATGCTTGGACCAAATCAAAAAGGGAATCCAGTTTATACAGTGTGTTTCTTTAAGAATAGCTTTTTTCATATGTATATTAATGCAATAACCTGTGCATTTAGTAATGAAAATTATTATATGGAAACCAAACAACTACACTTTTAAACCATTATATTGCTTGGAAACCTTTTACTGTTTTTTTGTTTTGTTTTTTTAATCAAATAAACGCTGTACCAAATATCTGCTCCTGAAAATAAACATGCCCTTGAAGTGTCTGCTCCAAGGCTTTTGCTCCATCACGTTGATATACTGTCATTATTTAATTGATTTGCCACACACTGCTATTAATCCAGGGTGAGCAGCTGTTTGCCGCTGGGAAGTTGATGACGTCATTGAACCTGCCAATCTTTTCTGCTGTAGGCGTGGTTACAGCAGATCCACTTACAGCAATGTTGAGGTATCATGGTTCACTTTTCCATGGGTATTTTAATGCCTGTTCATGAGTTCATGGCAGACGGGTAGCTCATGTATGGTTTTATAGCCTAATTTATAATTATAAAATTATAATTCATTACTGTACTGGATTCAAATGCAGAACACATTAAATCATACCATGAATGAATGGCGACGCTACAGGTGGGTGTTACTGGTCCACCCCATCAAAGCTATTAATTGTGTGGAAAATAAATGAAACCACAAAATAAGATTAAAGGTACAATATATAAGTTTTCACCGCTAGAGGGCGCGTATTCAAAAGAAACAAAGGTGTAAATTGATGAAGCCGTGACTGAGTGTGGAATCATGGGAGTTGTCGTCTTCATCCCCACAGCCGACGCAATCTGACGGGACTCAGGCAGAAATCATGTTCATTGATGAGCTAATGTATTAAAGATTTATTAACATCGTAGTATGAAGCAGAGTGAGGCGGAAAGCCGTCGAAGCGAAACGAGGCCGCGGAAGCAATTGCTACTGAGAGACGAGAGTGACACATGTCACATAACTGCGTCTTTAACAGATGCTCTGTCCCATAGATACCATAGACTAGATACACGCACCCTGTCACTGTAAACTGGCCTGTCAATCATCTTGTCACAGTTAACATCCTCCACATTGCATTTCATTTAACTTCCTACGGTATTGGAGAGAAAAGAAGTAGCACATTGATCTGCCAGTCGCGGGTCTTTCATGCCGAGAACTCTGCTCATGTTTTATGCATAATGATGCATTTAAAAGTTAACGACCAAACGTTTATAAAAGTTTACATTGCTGTTGCAGATGAAATATAACACAGGTAACATTAAATAAATATTTTTTACCAGGTTAAATGTTGAATATTAGTAACTCAAACCCCTTTTTCTAAGCCTATCTACCTAACCACTGGTCGCGCACACCCGCCATGTTTGTAGTTTTTATCGCGTTTTATTCGTGTTTGTAGTTCTGGACAGAATCTTTCACCGAAGCGCAATGGATTGTGGGCAATATTAGCCATTAGAGTGTGCACGGATCCACACTTCAAAAATCGACCTGAAATAGTAGACCATCTGGGGACTTTTGGCATACTCTTTTCAACATACTATGCTTTGGGACACACTTATTCTAATCTCACATACTATTTAGGATGGATAGTATGAACATTGAGACACAAGGTATGTATGTGAAAGGAGAATGTATGTGTGTGAGAGAGAGTACAAATGCATGTATGTGAAAGGAGAATGTAAGTGTGTGAGAGTAGAA